CCTGTCCAGGAGGTCCACAGCCCAGGATGAAGGGCTCAATGTGGGGCTGTGGTCTCTGACTGAGAGAGGCTAGAAGAGCTGCCTTCCAGTAGACTCTGAGGTGTTGGACATGGAACCTTCTCCTTGAGATCTCAGGTATGGGTTGGGCTGAGGTGAGGATTGGGCTACAGACCTGGCCAGCTTCTTAGCGCCCCAGCCCTGTTTGGTCTATAACTCAGGATCCCACGGGAACACATCCCGGCTTGTCTACATCCAGAGCCTGCGATCCCCTCTGCTCTCTCGCCAAACGCCATTAATGGCTTCTCCCAGCTACTGAACCGGCAGCTGCCTCCAGAGCTGGCGGCCTCCACTCCTCCGGGGCCACCCCCGCCCTCTCGTGTCCTGGCCACCGCCCCGTGAGCACTCACTGCCTGCTGCTTGCATTGCTGCTGGCAGCTGGAGCAGTAGGCTCAGGTTTCCAGCTAGCAAGCAGTGGCCCACCTCACTGCTTGCAGAGGGCACCCAAGCTGCAGAGCGCTTGGCGGCTGTCTGCCAAGGCCCGCCTATGTGCCTGCCCTGAGCAGGGCTCTGGCTACAGACCCTTGGTGCTTGGTCCCTTTCTTCCTGTGACGTGCACTGCTGACTGTGGCCTCTTCAGTGGCCACAGGGCATGAGTAGTATGCCCACCCCCAGAGAAACTCTCAGCACTGTTCCTCACCTTAGGCATGTGGTTCCTAAGAGCCACCCTTTGCATTGAGCATCCTAGCTAGCAGAGGATTGCCCTTGGGGGGACAAGGAGGTCAGATGCGGGGCAGTGGGAGGGAGCAGAGCCAGCTGTTCCCTTAAAGGAGATGGAACACTCTCAATAGCATCCTGTCAGTGACTGGTAGGCAAATGTGGGCTTCCTCAGAGCTGTGCCTGCTTGTTGAGGCATATGGATGGTGTAGTCTTACCGTCCTGCCAGACTCTGGGGATGTTTGCTTGGCCATAGCCACCTGGGAGTAGCCTGTTGCATTGAGGGGGGTGGCATTGAAGGATGGCACTAGGACACCTCAAGGAAATCAGCCGCGGAGGGCCAGGCTGCCTTGCAGGGGACAGGAGTCACAGTTGGGAGGGTCCGTGTGTGAGGGTGGTGCTCAGAGCTGGGAAAAACTTCCTGGTAGATTTTGAAGGTGCTTGAGTGGTGGTGGGGGACCGAGAAGGGGCTGATGTGGTGTGGAGCTCTGGACCATCCCCTACCATCACCACAAAATTGAAGCAGAGCTTTGTTTGAATAGTGGGACTCAAAATAGACCTTTGTTCTTCAACTCATAGCGATGTAAACTGGCCTGATCCTTTGTCCCCCATCTGGAGAGGGCCAGGCAAGCTGGGCTTAAACAGCCTTCAGGCAAGGGATGACCTCTCCACACCTGTGGACCCTGCAGGGGGTGGCTCAAGGCCCTCCATCTATGGAGGGCTGCCAGGAGGTTGGGCAGATGGGCCCACAGGTGCCTGGGGCTCAGTAGGGGTTTTTGTAAGGCCCAGGAGGAACAGACCTGCAGGTGGGAGGGTGACTGGGGCAATCTGACAGGGAGGCCAGAAGGCAGCTCCTCCTGCTCGACCCCTAGTCCCTGATGGGTCATCCTTGGCCAGCTTTGACTCTTGCAGAAAGAGATCGACTCCCCTCTGGTCTGTCATCCAGGCAGCCTCTGGGCTCAGCATCTCTCACAACCTTCTGTGGGGTCAAGGTAGCAGGTGAGTCTAGAGCAGCCACTGGCTCTGAGCACTTTGACAGAGATAAGACTCCCCAGGAGGGGTGGTGGCGGCAGCAGCATAGGAAGGCCTCAAGAGCTCTGAGACAGGAGGCTGGGCCATTCGTGCAGGGGGTGCAGGGGGAGCTGAATGAGTGCTGAACACTACCCGCATTGTAATCGGAGAGGGGCTGGGGAGAGAGACTGAGCAGCGGCTGACCCTGCACTCCCCGGGGACAGGTGGGAGAAGAGAACGAGGAGAGAGTGAAGGATTCCAGAGGTGGGCCGGCTTCCTCTCTCGCAGACAGACACGGGAGGGAGGTGGGCAGTGGGCCAGCCCCATACCTGCAGTTCCAATCTGCGGTCCTGACAGCTGCAGCCACTTTGGGGAGGGGGAGGGGCAAAGGCTCATCGAGAGCGGAAAAGTCCCAGCCGGCACAGGGACGCATTGCTGCTGTGTCCGGTGCAATCTGGGGGCTGGGGACCCCTGCCCAGCCTCATCCCATAGGCTTGTTTTGGGGCTGGCCCCCAGGAAAAGCACAGGTCTGTCTGTGCCTTTGTGCAGTCCAGCCTGGGGTCTCAGAGTGCAATGCCTGACCTGGAGGGGTCACATGTGTTTCCTGGCAGCCTGCAGGTGTTGAGCAGGGCGGGGGTGGCTGGCTTGGGGCGAAGGCGGCCTAGTGATGAATCATGTGGTGCTGCCAGCGGCTCATTCCCCAGGCTGGGGACAGGGAGCTGACAGCTGAGGCTGAGCCCAGCGTTTCCAACCCAGCTTGGCTCATAGGGGCGGCTGCTGGCCCAGGGTGTGGGCCAGAGCCCCCCTTCTCTTCCAGCTGCCTCTGTGGGGCACATGCAGAGGGAGTCCTGGGTCTTTGTCCCTCAGTTCTCCAGCTTGGTGGTGGGTGAGGCTGGACTCTGGGAAGACAGCCAGGGACTGTGGTGGGCAGGGAGCACCTGCCATCCCTTGGCTTTTGGCTCTCAGCTTCGTGGACTTGCGTGGGGCCATGGGCTGGGGCTGACCCACATCACCCCCAGTCTGGTTTGAATCTGGAGCAGTGGAGGGTGACGGAGTGTTTCTCCTTACCCCTCCCCTTGTGCTGGCTGTTGGGCTAGGCCCTCGGCTGCTGCTACCGGTGCAGCTTGGGGAGTGGCTGGGCCGGCTGCCTGGACCTGAGGCTGGCCAAGCTGCAGCCGCTGTTGAGTCAGGCCCCTCAGCGAAGGCCTTGGCCGGGCACGTGCCGTACCCTGACCATTCCAGATCCCTGGGGCTTCCTCTAGCCCCGGGGCCTTCGTGTCTGTCCCCTTCCCCTTTCATCTGGCTCCATTGGACATCTCAGCCTCTTACTCAGTTTTGCCCAGTCCTGAGTACCTGCTTCTGAGCTTCCTTGTCTTTTTGCCCTGTTCTGCCTTCCCAGCTGGCTTTCCCCTCCTGAACTGGACTTCAGATCAGGCAGTGCCATCCCCCGCCCAGGTGCTGGCCACCAAGTCCTGTAGTACTTGTATACTGGCTTGGGGGGGGGTATCCTTCTCCTGATCTTTGAGGACGTCCTCTCTGGGTTGTCTCTGACATCGGCTTGGCCACTCTGACCAGTAAGGTGGGTGTCCAGGTTTGTGTGGGAGTTTGCACCTTTGCCTAGGCCCCGGCCTGGAAATATGAGGCCTGTGGGTAAGGGGCAGGTAACCCATGGGGCTCCTCCTTCAACTCCTAGCTGCAACCCTGTGCCCCAGTCCTGGCTTCCCTGGGCAGGGATTTCTGCAGTAACTGTGCCCACTCCTCCCCCTCTGGCCAGCTGTGGGCTCCTGCAGGATTAAGGGGAGGAAATTTGGGGTTGGGTTTCTCTCTGAACGAAACCTGCCGCTGTGACTTTTTATCCTGTTATATTTCTATCAGATTGGACACAGCCCCCCCCCCCCCCCCCCCCCCCC